CGTAGTTCGCATATATCTGAGCTGCACTGTATGCAGCCTGTGGAGTAAGAATGATGGTTTGCTAGATTTGCAGTGGACCAGGTGGCAATTTGCAGGGAGGAAAATCTTATGGAGGCTCCAAAGATGCCAGGATGCTTTACATCAAATACAAATTGTGCAAGATTTCCTCAGTTTATCCTGCACGCTACAAGGTGCAGCCAGAATTCACTTTGTGTGACAATCACATGGAAAATTTTTGTGAAAATTATATTTGTCCCTGCAACAAAATTTCTTTCCTTGCAACAAGTTATATAAATTCAAACTGGTTTAAATTTGTGCAACTTATTGCAGGGACAAAGATTTTCTCAAAAACTCCCCATGTCACACAAAACGAATTGTCATTGCAACTTGCTGCTGTTTTGTGCCACAGCCACTATTAGTGTCCCCATTTAGTGGTTATTTACTGCTATTTTAGTTTGACATTTAAATAAAGGTATTCATTCATTCATTCATTCACTTGTTTTGGAAACAACACACATGGAACAGTTTGTCACAGAAACATGTCACAGTGACTTGCTGCATAGTGTGTCTAGACCATAGAGCTTCACTATTATATCATTCATTGTATACTAACCAACTTCTCATGCCTGGCTTGCAAATTATTATTCTCTGCATTATTCCTTGCCATTAGGCCAAGCCTCTTGAGCTGTCTAAACTCATCTACTGCTCCCGTACTGTTCCAGAATTAGAGAAGGTAAAACTATATGTAACTGTTACAATAATTACAGTGTTGTGGCTCAGATTTCATGTTCTACCTATTGAGTAATATTTTTGTGGTATCAATAATTTATTGCAGGTTCTTGAAGAACTAAAGGTTCTTTTAGAATATTATGAGAAGGAAACTGGACAGAAACCCAAACTTTTGGGCTTAGGACTGAGCTCCAGAAAGAATCTCTGTATTCATCCTGAGGCAAGTATGCTTGAAAATTGTTTATATGTTTATTCCATGGTAGTAAAATTGAATCCATTAATGCGACACAATGTTCTGACCTCCTCGATAGTATGTTTTTTTGTGTATGCCTCATTTTCACTGTCCAAACTTATGTGAGAGAAAAATTTTCCCATGCCAAATTTATATTAGAGGACGATTTATCCATCTCAGGATAAATTGTCTACAATAGGTGTTATGTATATTAAGCTATAATAATATTATATATACTCAATTTTCACAGGTGAGTGCAGAAAGAGAAGGAAAGAAAGTAGATGGGAAGTGTCTGAGTTTGACTGCATCTTATGTACGTTTGAAACATAAGGAAGACAATACAGTCCCTGTCTGTGCACTTTATGAGGTACTGATCAATAAATTTTGTTGGTCAAATGATAGTAGCAGTGGCAGATCCAGACCTTGAGCTAAAGGGAGGAGGGGAGAGGGGGGGGGNGGGGGTTGCTTGCTCTGCCAGCTTTTTTTCCTTCTACGATTTTTTTTTTACCCAAAATGAGGGGGGACCAGGCCCCCTGGGCCCCTCTCCTAAGTCTGCCACTGATTATTGGCTCTGAGGCAACAAATTATAAAAATAAATCACATACAAACATACATGTATTAAAATTGGCTTATTGAGCTCTGTAATTCTGTAAATTTTACAAATAAAAATATGGTAAATTATCTAGTAGATGATTATAATCATGACAACACAATCAGTTAATTTATCAGTGGTTGTTCTGTTTGCGCCGCAGGCTTTTGATGCTCATGGTAAGGAGGAGAAGCTTGCTCCTGGAGTGTATAATCTAGTGAGGGATTTTTACACATTGATGATAATTTACTGTCTTTTTTATACTACAATCATAGAAATGATTTGGGAAAATGTTTATTATTCAGGTGGAACACAAGAATTCTCAGTAAGTGGTTTCTGTCACTGGGAAAGTCTTGGAGGCTGACTCACACAAAAACAAAACAGGAATAAGGAATATGTTTAGGAAGTGAACAGAAATTATGCATCATAATAACAAAAGCTCACAAACATTTCAAAGCAGTTGGAAGAAGCCTGTGGCTGGTTTTCCATGAAGACGCTATGTTTTGTTCCATGTGTTGAAAAGTCAGATTCAACTTTTTGAGTTCTCTCCCTTTAGTTAAAGCCTTTTCAAAAGCTGTGAGATGTACCTAGACCTACAAAAAATCCAGATCTACTTTATTTGGGCCTGGGTGACTAAGAAATCAAGTATGCTGGTCTGGCTGGCCAGCAGGCACTGACGTTAAGTTTTATCCCTGAAGATAGCCATGCAAGGTAATAATCAAACAGGTTCAATTATGCAATAATTATTATTGACAGATGTACTGGCATGCATGCTAAAGTGTATGTTTTTTAAGGGTGATCTAAAAGAAGTTGGCAAGAACAAGGGGTGGTGTCCATATTATTTGGCAAGATACACAGTAAGTACTATCTTAAAGATGAAAAATTGTCCAAACAAATGTTGGTATCTCATTTTTTGTACATTGTACATTTTTGCAAAAAATAAGTTCTTCTGTCAGTAACCTTAAGTACCCTAGCTCAGAAAAGCCATACAGAAAAGAGGGGTTAGGGACACGGGAGTGATGGTTCAGTAAGAACACAACCCAAGTAGGACTCAAACTTGGATCTGTTAGAAGAGATGGGTAGGGTGTAGGGGGTAGGGCGGTGGGGGAGAATTTTCTCAATTTTGGCTCCTGTTGAAAGCAGGATCAAGCTAAATTCAGAATTAGCATCAACTTTCAATTCAGTTTAATTTATTAATGAAATAATAAGTAATCCATCAGTAATTAATTACTTTCAGTTTTTTTTGTCCAACATCTTGATTTTTGGACAATTATATCGAATAATTTTGTGACATACATGTACATGATGATAATTTATTAAAAGTAGACAGTTAAAAGCTCTCTCTCATTCTGACTTACTAATACAAGATCTTCTGCCTCTGCTTTTAGATTTATCACGCCAACATAGTCGTGTACAGTTATCATTACCTCTTGGATCCTAAAATCGCTGACCTTGTGTCCAAAGAACTGGAGAAGACTTCAGTTGTTGTCTTTGATGAAGCACACAACATTGGTAGGGAATGTCACTTTTAAAGAGCAATCAACATTTTATAACTTAAATTGTTTCAGACCAGTCATCCTACAAGTGCACAAGTATGCATAATCCATATATTGACTATTAACAGATAACATCATTCATCTCTAAGTTTACATTATTCTTACTGTTAACTCATGACTGCTAACAAATAATTTGACGCAAAAAAGATCCACTTGAGGTATGCAGATTTTATACTGTATCTAGTATGTTTGTTAGCCTCTCAACAGAGAATTTAGATGGTTTTCAAAAATTTACAGCTAGATAGAATGATTCTAATTTAAAGCATTAAGTTATTTAGGTTTAACATTATAAAGGGCCAGTACAAGTTAGATTTACAGTATCAGCCCTTGAGCCATGAACACTTGACATTTTCTTGAACATTTTTTTTGGTGACTATAGACTGAAGGCACTTCATACATGTGTTATGTACTAGAAGAGAATTTTTACAGTGTAAAAATGCCAATACTTTTGTTTAGAACACAAAGAGCCCTCAGTCTATAGTCTACCAAAAAGTGTACAAAAAATGTCAAGTGTTCATGGTTTGAGTTTCGTTACTGTAATAATTATTGTTTCTTGTGCATTGCATCCATGGCTATACACTTTATGTACTTAGAGAGTGTATTTGCCGCTGCTCTTGTGTGGATGTTGACAAAACATTAAATGATATTCACTGAACATGCATGACAATAAATTACAGTTATGTACAAACTGAGACATGAACAAGACATGTTTAAGGTCATTCCCCTGTATTGCATTGCGCATCCCTACTGCACATAATTTCACGCGTGATTAGCACATGCTCATTAAAAAATGGCGGCTTTTTCTTAACAGCTGGACCTTGCCATAGAGGTAAATCATCATTTTCTTGCAAACGAGTATGGTGACCTATCATTTTTTCCTGTTGTTTTGAATTGAGTAATAAATTTCTCTGTGTAAAATAAATATGGACCAATTCTCAGTGTAGAACAAGAAGCAATTGTCGGAAATGTGAATTTAGCAAGCAATCGTGACTGCAATCATGGTGCTATTATAAGGATTTATATGGGTATAAACAAGATGCTTTTGCTCCTAAACGAACATGGGGACCCCTCATTTTTATTTCAAAATTTAAGTTCCTATAATATAAACAACTGATAGGCAAAGTTTCACAAAAATCTCATCGCAGGTTCTATTTCAGTGGAATGACCTTAAGAGGTCATTGTGACTAACCATATTTTAAAAGCTAGGCAAGTCAAGAATATAATAATTATGAACTACTTATACTAAATTATATCATTTTTTTATTGATACCTTATTTTGCAGATAATGTGTGTATTGAATCTCTGAGTGTGAAAATATCAAGACGAACTTTAGACAGAAGTCATACCAATGTTGAGTCATTGGCTAGAACTGTGAAGAAGTGAGTTGAACAGTTTGTTGCCTGTATAACAAATTGTTTGTGTTAGGTTGAATTTCAAGACTATAATGATCAATATTAGAATCTTAGAGATACAGGTACCATTTGTTTGATGAATTAGTCCCATTGTTTTCTCTCATCAACCAATATACAATATATCTTGACATCATTTAGTAAATTACTTAGTTTTTTTTAACTATTTTTTTATTCTGTTGTTTCAAGTCTCAAACTTAGAGATGCTGACAAACTAAGGCAGGAATACAACAGACTAGTTCAGGGTATGATTACATCCTTTTTGATTTTATTTATCTCTGATGTTAGCTGTCCGTCTAAATTTCTGTCTTCCCTAAATTCATAATTTGATGTTTCGTTGCTGTGAAATTGATTTTAGGTTTACGAGATGCAAGTGTTGCAAGAGAAACTGATGTGGTATTAGCTAATCCAGGTACAACAAAATTTAGCATTTTGACGTTTATTTAGCTTTTCTGAATGCTTTGAAATTTCAGGATAACTTTTGTCAATCAATAATATAATGAAAAATATCTTAAAACTTGCTGTGTGCTCTTCAAAAATGCCTTCATTTTTTGACAGATTAGTTTGAGTCAGTAAGTAAAGACATATAGGCAGACATGTCAGTATCACTTTTGTGGATCTACGCAGAACAGATCCATAAAAATAAATATAGGTCTAGACAGAGTGTATCTTTTTTTAGGATCTGATGCTCACATTGACATATCCCTTTGTGAATTATTTGTATGGTACAGTAACTATAATTTAATTACAAAAGCTAAGCTTTAATTGATCATGTATAAAATGTATCCGAAACAAATTATGGTTAATTTTCATAACACAACTCCACATTTGTTTTGTTAAATCTTCTTCTTATCACTGGATGGTAATGGTTTTTGTTAAAGCCCATAACTTGCAGCCAACTTGATTGAGGTATTAATATTTTATTTTGTTTTGTAGTATTACCCGATGAAATCTTGGAAGGTATCTGTGGCCCTTGATTATTTAACTTTGAGTCAATCTAATTTGTATGTCAGTCATTTTTCACTGTGTCTTTTATTCAAGAAAATTGTTGATTTTAATCATTAATAATAATTATTGTTCTTATTGTCTTTAGTGGTTAGTATTAATCGTTTTCTTAAGTTAATATTGAACGCAATGTTAAAATAAAAATTATACTACAATATTTTTCTTTTCAGAGGCAGTGCCTGGAAATATTAGACAAGCTGAACATTTTGTGAATTTCATGAGACGATTCATTGAGTACTTAAAGGTTGTATCTACATGATGTTTCACTTTTTACTAAATATTGTAAGTCTATTAAATAATAATGATGTTTAGTAACCAAAAGTCAAGCTCCAACTCACTTTAATAAATGGTACCGTCATGTACATGACTGCACTAAACACAGAGATATCATTCCCTTTAATTTTCATTGTAGCTAGCATAGGTTTGTCTTGTTGTGAAAACTAAGTTAGATTTTAGAAACAAGAAATCAAAATAATTTATATGAAAAAGTACAGGTTAAAAGATTTTTATTTAACATTTGTACATATTTTCAACTTTTTTTACTCACACTAAGTGAGTGAGTTTGACCCTCTCTCCTCCACAGAAGTTTGAAACATTTGTTGTAAAATTTGCTGTGGGAGGTGAGCGCAGTCACAAAGTTGAATGGATCAATCACCTTCTTCTTTCACCCTTCATGTAACCCTCTGCCTGCACTCATATCGCACAGCGGATTCTCCCCACCTGAAAAAAAAACCTTTGAGCTTCTGCAGAGGAGAGAGAGATTGACCTACATACATTTTCTCTGCAGACCAGGCTGAGAGTACAGCATGTGGTACAGGAAAGCCCTCCATCTTTTCTACAGCATGTTTATCAGCAAGTCTGTATTGAAAGGAAACCTCTTAGGTATGTTACAATTTTTAATCACTAGACCAGGGGCTTTTTGGGTTTTGTCACTGCTGCTCTCTAGATCTCTCTGTAACTCCAAGAGTAATTAACTAAAGGTTACAATAAAATAATCTGTGAAACTTTAAAGAGTAATCAAAAGTAAAACAAATAAAGTGAGAAAGATATTTAAACATTACTGAAAGTAAAACAGAAAAGTGTAAATGTTGGAGGGAAATCATTTCTGTCAAAATATGGTTGTTTTGGCATCATCAAGTTCCAAATACTGTGAGATTTCATACTAAGTCATAAATATTGCACCCAGCAACAATGCATGGTTTTAATTATTAGCTAGTTTTACTCTTTCCTTCTTAAGTTAATAGTTCTCCTCATTTCCTTTTGGTTTATCCTTTTTGTAGTAAGACAGTTTCATAAATCCATATATTTACTAGGAGTGAACACCAGTGTACAAAGTTTAAAGGGATACTTTATAACTGAAATCAATATTTCAAAAAACCATAGCTTTTAACCCAAATAAGAGGTATTGAACAGATACAAGTGGTCAATCTTTGTAACTCTACACACACTTATAATATATGCCTTTATCTTTGATTTTAAAGATTCTGTGCTGAGAGGCTGAGTTCTTTGCTGTACACTTTGGAACTTCCTGATGTTCAAGACTATGGCCCCCTGACATTGATTGCCAATTTTGCAACTCTTGTGAGCACCTACAGCAAAGGTACGATGCACATTTTGCATTTTACTGGTTGAATTTTCATTTCATGTTCTAAAACTCCAATAGACCTTTCCATAAAAATACCTTAATATTTTTAAAACTGCAGTTTAAGTCTCTTATTTAGGATGCAAGCATTTACCACATCCTTTGTTCTAAGTACAAGTTGCACATGCCATGCAACAAATTTCAAAGCTAAAATGTGTCTAATTAGACACAAATATAGGAAAAAGTGCCAATATACATTGGTTTTTCCTTTGCTTGTAATCTGTAACATAGTTTCCATTTGCCTCAGAAGTAAGATTGCTAGGTTTCTTTAGTTCTAGAAAATTGCATCATTCAAGCTGAGGTTGGCTTCATGTACTCTCAATTGCATCGTGCCACTAGAATAATATTAAGACTGAATAATTTCTTTATCCATGTGAGACTAAGCCTGCACATGAATGATATTTTTAGAAAAGGCCCATGTAAGCTTCCTTTAGTTTGGTAATCATTTTTATCTTCCTACAGGTTTCACCCTTATTATTGAGCCATTTGATGATAGAACACCAACCATACCAAATCCAATCCTTTACTTCAGGTAAGGTTTTATGCCAATGCTTAGATTTACCAAATGAATGCCATTGTTTTGATTTTCTTGTCACCACCAATACATGTATGTAGAATGAGCAACTTTTTGGTTTGCCTTGGGCTAAAGGTGCACAGCCTTCTGCATGTGTTGCAGCTTCTGCATGCATTGCATGCCTACAATGCTGTGTGATAATTGTTACAAAGTAACTGTCAAAGAAGTAAATGTATTAATGTTATGTTATGCATACAGTTTGATTTATTGTGCTATGATGTTGTGTAAGATGCTACATTGCGTTTTCTTTCTTTCAATCTCAGTTGTATGGATGCTTCCATCGC